TAGGGCTGGGTACCGGTTCAGTCGGACCGGTTTGGACCGGAACAACATTCAAGAACCGAGTCCAAAAAACCGAAACGTGAAAACCGGATGACCGGACCTGATGTACATTTCTGTAGATTGTACACACAATACACACATCTTTAGATAATCTGGCCATGGCAGGTAAATAAAATAACCCCGAATCACACTAGATTAGCCTAAATCCATGTCTATCTCTTTCTGTAACTGTGGGTTCAGCTTCTATTAGGCCGACAAAAAAAGTTCGCGGGCCACGAGGTTGGTGTTAGTACCGCGTAGGCTCGTACCGATCGTCAAACTCGTCAAAACATGTCTCCATATACTCACGTAAATTTTCGCTCCAAAATGTGAAGAATCGTCGTCATTCACTGCTCAAACAAATAAAATATGAGATATACAACATCGTTTCTTTCTTGTGCACATGTATTCAATCCATTCGTACGAGTTGGAAATCATTTATGCCGCCTTAAACACAGAAATTCTAGCGCTCACATCGACGAAGACGACAACAAAGCGGCCATCTTGGATCCTATTGTGAAGTCTCGCGGTTTCTCGCCCCCCCCAAATCTCGCGAGATGCAATTATTGACATTCTCGCTAGAGGGCGCTTTACCATCTGCTGCGCCCGCGATGTGATTGGCTACAAGTAACAAGCGCATCATATTTCACAGACAGACACGAGGAGAGGGGAGGTAATGAGTACAGTATTGAGCCATGCCAAAGTGCAAGAAAAGCAAGGTTTGGAGTCACATGAGGCAGCTGCCGGATGGCAAGGCGATGTGCCACCACTGCAACAATATTATTGTGGTGTCAGGTGGTACAACAAACCTTGCCCGGCACCTGAGAAGAAACCATAACATTGAGACCCAGCCCCATCCTGCAGGGAAGGTCATGCAGAAGTTGTTCATGGGTAAGTTTCTTCTTTATTTTTATTTGATAGCTACTACAAAATTGTGTTAGAGGTAGCTTGTAATGCCCTATGCAAATAAAGATTCATTCAATTATTTACCTGTACTTAGCCCAGTGTGGCAAAATTTGCAATAAAGGGACTCGTCATTCATTCATTATAATCTCCCATTCTTGCACAGTTGCACTGTTGCCCATCCTCATGTAAGGAGAATATGGTTGCTGAATGCTGATGTATGTGTGTATGTAATGTTAATGCTGATAAGATCTAGAATTTCCAACTGTCCTCCTACCATGTTGTTGGAATCCCATGTGAGTAGTGTCAGACAGGTTCCAGACCTATGACCTCACAAGGTCATTGGGCTGTACTACTGTGCCAGGTTCTTGAAAGGGGGGAGGGGGGATTTGTTATGCAACCCACCACCGAACAAGTTATGTATGGTCATTTTTGTTTGATGGACTTCCAACTGAAGTGACACCATATCCATGTAGTAACTGAAATTCCCATTCCGTCTTTTTACTTCAGGTCTTTCAGCTGCTCCAGCCCAAAGTCCTACAGCTGTGTGCGAGACTGTGTCTAGTACTACGACTACGAGTACTTCTGTTTCTTCAGACAACAACCTACCTCTGCCTCCCCTACCTTCTCTGGCCACAGTGGCCTCTTCTTCCAGTGCCAGTGCCAGCCCAGTGACCCCAGTCCGAGTAACCCCTTTCACCCTGGCTAGGCAGGCCAGGATGCCCGAGTACAAGAAGAGTATGATTACTGCTAAAGTCTGTCACTACATTGTGAAATCATTGCGTCCTTATCACACTGTTGAAGACCCGTACTTTCGTGCGATGGTTCATGAGATGAATCCTGCCTATCAGTTACCCACCAGGCATGACGTAAGTGAGCGCTTAGTCCCAGCCATGTATGATGCAGCGTTAGAGGCACTGAAGAAAGATTTGTCTGCTGTGGACTACGTCGCGCTCACTGGGGACGGTTGGACATCCAGGGTTGCAGACCATTATATGACTATAACGGTACATTATCTTAAGGACTGGGAATTGCAGTGCAAGGTCCTGCAGACGATCAAGGGTGAAGTTCAACAGACAGGCAACAACATCACTGCAGAAATTGACGAATGCCTGGAAAACTTCGAGCTTGCTGGAAGAGTCCGCGTAATGACCACGGACAATGCAAGAGCTATGTTGTATGCCACAAACAAGGCTGGTGTGACAACCTCCCTTGGCTGTTTTGCCCATACACTAAATCTCACTGCTCAGAAAATGCTGAATGTGAAAGGTTTGCAATCTCTGCTGGGCACAATCCGACCGGTAATCACGTACTTCCGGAAATCCTACATTGCCAAACTCGTCCTGAAGGAGAAGCAACAAGCTCTACAAGTGCCATGTAACAGTCTCGTACTTGACTGCAAAACCAGGTGGAATTCCACTTTCTTCATGATTCAAAGGTTCATGGAACAATATGCTGCAATTATTGCAGCTACACTTGATACAAGAATCAAACAGAAACCAGAGTTCAGGAAAGTGCAGCAACTGGAAACCACAACAGTTGGGAAGCTGGACGCGTACCTCAAAGTAGCTGGACTTTTGCAAAAGATGACGCAAGTTATGTCTAGTGAGAAGAAGGCAACAGCTGGCATGGTGCTGCCCATGTTACAAATGCTGACAGAGCACTTCAAACCAGGCTCGTCATCCAAGGAAAGAGAAGAAGAAGGCGATGACGACAAGTCTAAGGAGGTGGAGGCTTTCACCGAGCGTCTGAAGGCTGCTGCCCTAGAAGACCTGAACAAGAGGTACAAGGATGAAGAGGAGTTAGATTTCTTGCAGGAGGCCACAGCAATGGACCCTAGGTTCAAGGGCACAGTGAAGGAAGAAAGTGTTTGGGCAAGACTGTGTGAAAAGGTAACAGTCCAAAGTGCCTCCATCAAGAGAGAGCAAGAGCCAGAGCAAGAGTCTGATGTCCAGCGAGTGAAGGATGAAATGAAGCCAATCAAGCCATTGAAGGTAGAGGTCAAGGAAGAACCCAAGGCACCAAAGACCTTACTGGAGGAAATTTTCAATGACGATATCGAGATCACCTCTGTTCAGCCTCCTACGCCAGTAGCAGTCCGAGCTCACCAAGAGCTCGGAAAGTACAGGCAAATGCCCAATCTGCCAAAAGCTGGTGACCCCTGTCAGTTTTGGAAGGGTAAAATGGAAGAACTGCCCCTGTTAGCTAAGTTTGCCAGGCAGTACTTGATCGCACAGGCAACTAGCGTGGCAAGTGAGAGGGTATTTAGTACTGCAGGAGATGTAGTAAGTGCGGAGAGAGCCTGCCTAGACCCGGAGAATGTTAACATCCTGATCTTCCTGGAAAAAAAAACACATAAGTGAAACTGTTAGTAGTGCTAGTATTGTCATTCCGATTGTGTTCCTTCTTCTTATAAATATGAAGCTGACTTTGAAAAGTTAGAGGAGCAGATTAGCAGTCAAACTCAAGTTAAACTCCATTGTGTTTATTACAAATATGAAGCTGACTTTAAAAAGTTAGAGGAGCAGATTAGCAGTCAAACTCGAGTTAAACTCCATTGTGTTTATTACAAATATGAAGCTGACTTTGAAAAGTTAGAGGAGCAGATTAGCAGTCAAAACTCGGAGTTAAAACTCCATT